TCCCTCCCCTGGAGTGGTCCCTTTCTCTCTACAGAGCAGCAGAGGGTCTCCGAACTGTGGTACAGTATTTTTAGGACCGTGTGTGTTAGCCCTCATTACGCTGTGCACAGCTTGCTCTGTATGACATGACAGCGCAGGGAGCCCTGGAAGGAGCGGCTGCCAGCCGTGCTTGGTGTTTCCTCGGCGCAGCTGTACGTTACGAGTGTCAGCCGAACCAGAGGTAAATTTGCTGGGTGCAGAGCAGGGGAAGCTGTGCTACTGTGTACTGTGAACTCCAGAAAGGAGGAGGGACTGTGGGTTTGGGAGCTTCGATGTTCAACTGAGGGTCAAAAACTGGGAGCTGCTTCCGAAATAAACCTTGGAGTGGGAGCCAGGTGCCTTCTGTCCGCCTCAGCCAGGTTAGGCCATGTCCTGGTAGGTGAACACCCCAGGAGAGGAGGGGCTCAGCTGCGGTCCTCTGTCCTCAGTGCTCAAATCGCTAGGCTGTTGTATAGAAACTGCATTTATATTCTTTACCATGGACTTCCCAACAAGAAAAAGAGACTTCTGTTGTGTTTCAAAAGGGTGGGGTTGGGTTCCCATGAAAGTGGGTTCCTCCTAGTTCACCAGATGGTGATGGGACTTCAGTTCAGCTGCAGAGCTCAGTGGGTGGATGGAAAGCAGCTAGCAGCCAGGCTGGGCAGTCTTGGGAGCCAAAGTCCCTTTCTAAGCCACGGACTCAGTCTTTTGCTCAGGATGGCATAGGGAGCCTGCAGAGGGGCAGGTTAACAGCCTGGCAGGAGAAGCCTCCTCCTTGTTAGCATCCCCCTGGTGAGCACTGCCCTGTGGAGCCCAGGGTGGGGTAGGTAGCAGCTGGATTTCATGTGCTGTGCTTTATGACCACATTCTGCGCATGGCTACAAGATGGGCTGTTGTGTAATGCGGTGTTAATCCTGGAAGGACTCGCGTTCCAGTCCGGCAGATAGAAGGGGAGAAAGGGTGGGGGAATGAGATCATTAAAGACCTATCTCTGTGAATTAGGCGGCGACAGCTGGAAACCTTATCACCCAGGGGCTATTTTAAAAACAAGCCTATCTTGCAAATAGGCTTGGTTTAGAATGTTAGTTAGCTCGTGGGGAATTTTTAATAAGCAAGAATGCCAGTTATCATGAAATAATCTATATCCCACCCAAATTAGCCAAACTATTTAATTTTTTTTTTTTTTTTTGTCCCTGAGCTATCTTTGTATAATTGACAAGTTGTTCTGCACTTGAATTTGAAGAATTGGTTTGTGGGAGGGAGCAAGTCTATTTACCTTGTCTTGGGAGGCCAGCTGCCAAGTGACATACCTTGTGACTTTCTTTTTGAGGGAGATAATTAACAAGAAAATAGCCCTTAAGAAAAAGGAAATTGCTAAAAATGGCATAGTATCAGTGAGCCATTTTGGTTTTGAACAGTTTAAGTGTATTTTTGTTTTGTTGAAGCTGGATAACACAGTCACTAACGGGCTCCATGGCCCAGTTCTGGAAGGGGGTACCTTGGCCTGGCTGGAGGCATAGGAGTTTTTCCATCAATTCCAGCAGCATCAGGATTTGACTCAAAGTCATTACAGTCCTGACGTATGAAAAATTTGTTGCTGGATTTTTGCCCTGAGAAAGGATGGAGAATGAGCTGGCATTTGAAGATTTGGCTGGTTGAAGTATCAAGAATAAACTGGTTCTTTGTCCTATCACTTTGCCATGTAAGATTCTGCTGGCAGAAATCAGGTGGTACTTACACTTATGGGTAGGTTACTGAGTGTGGTTAGGAGGCTTTGGAATGGGTGCAAAAATGACAACCAGGTAGAAGAGCACTCCTGAATACTCTCCTCATACTGATAAGTAAGTGAAGGCATTAGAGCAGCATTTCTCATCTTTGAAGGACTGTTTAATATATTTTGGGGCAGGGGGGAGAGAAAGAGAGGGAGGTGTTAAAACCATCCCTAGACTATTTTGGCTATAGTAGCTTTTACTTACAAGAACAAAGACCATGATGAATTTGACATTTCCAAGTGTTCCTCATTGCTCTCATGTATTTTTCCTGTTGTGCTCACTTGCACTAAACCTAACTTGGTTTAGTTTTCTGCAAATTTGTGGAATGTCATGCAATTCATGCTGCAAGTGGCTCAAGGAGCACGAGCTGAGATCACTGCAACAGGACACAGCAAGCAGGCTACTAGGACAATGTGGTGCCATGCTCCATTGCATGCATGTTGTTTAATCCTTATGATCTGAAATCAGGACAACCTGCATTTGTCTTTATTTCTGTAGATAACTCAAGGAAGGGGAGATACATCTGTAACGCGTGGCGGAAAGGAAGAGGAGAGGAATTGACACACAGGAGCATTCCAGAGTAAGTTCAGATACTCTCTCCACTCCCTCTCTTGAAATAGAGGCAGCATCCCTCATGTCCCCCAGACTTCAAATTGTCCTGAATGATTTCTGTAGTTGACTTCTGATTTATAGAATGTTTTTAAGCAATTTGTTTGAGCTCTGTGGCTGTGACCGTAAACTTGCCAGGTTAGATGGTTGAGATTCTGGGAACTAAGGCCTGAGAGCAAGTTGTTTGGGGGGGTTGTTGCTGTTGTGAGTTTGTTTTTCTTTTAAATTTACACCAATTGTTTGCAAATATTTGCTGCTTCTGGGAATTCAGCTCCCTGAAATATAACATAAAGTTCAAAGACAATAATACCAGCCAAAGTATTGTTACTTAAATTAAGATTGAGACCTCTGGAAATCTGGTTTTGGTTTTCTTTAGGCATAAGAGTTGCAGTAGATAATTAGAGCTTTAGTGGACAGAAGAAGAATGTAGGACAGAAAGGTGGTCCAGCCCTTCACACATGGTACAGACTGAGAGCCAAGCTCAACTCTGTTACCTTTCCAATCAATTAGACAAAGTTAAATGCTGGTTTTGTGCCTGGTCTGGACTCTCTAATGTCTTCTTTGATAAGAGTTCTGTTCAGCCAAAAATACCATCCTAATATATAAGATCTTCTTGGGTTTTATGGCTCTCTAGTCTACTACTTAACATAATCTAATAATCTGGGGTTTTTTTAACAGAAATCAGTAATTAATCTTGTTTAGAACAAGTTATATGCTCTGTTGTTAAAGACCAATGAGTGGTATCATCTGTGGAATTTAAAGAGCCTTCATAATTTGCATAAGCCAATATTTATCTTATCTAGACAGAAAGATATGTCTTCATCAGTGCAACTCTTCAGAGATCAGAAGTACCACGAGCTGAAAGGGCAATGCATCCAGCAGAGACGGCTCTTCGAAGATCCTGAGTTTCCAGCCTCAGATGAGTCCCTTTTCTATCAATCAGCACCACCAAGGAAAGTTGAATGGAAGCGCCCAAAGGTAATTGTGCTTTCCTTCTGAGGAGGTGCTGTTTGTATTGTTCCACTCCTACTGTCTTCTCTGTGCTAAAACACAGTTACGTGAGTATATTCTTCCTCCCTTTTTCCATTCATTTTCTGTCACTGTGTGATTCAGACAGTAGCCCCTCTGCGTCACACTACTGTCCGAAATGAAAGTCATGCCTTACTGTAAAAAGACAAAATCTGAAGTGTTCTGTGCAGCATAATCATGCTTTTTACTGTTGATGGGTCTCTAATAAGAAGCAGCAGTATGAGGTGACTCCAGCCATAGTGATGTTTAAATCAGCCCTCTATTTAGTTAAGAATACCACTAATTAATTAAGAATACCAGTAATAGATCAGTCAATAGAGGAGTATATTCTGCAAATAAATTCTTAATTTCCTAGGTCAATCTGTGGATATGTACCTGTCTAGGTTGCTGTGTTGACAGAAGCATTTCAGCAAGGTGTTGAGATTCTTAATTGAAGTTTCTCTTCAATACCTGTCACTTCTGAGGGCCTGGTGTGTATGCACAGTAAGTGCAATATAAAATCTGAGAAAAAATATAGAAAATTAGATTTTACTAACTGAATAGGTAGCATCTTCCTGCCCAGAATACTGGAAACAACTCAAATAATAATGTAGGGTTATTTTTCATTATTATAGCTCTCTGCGTGTTTTTCAGAGTAACTGGTGCCTTATTAAAATGTATGAGGAAGGGAAATCTCATAGTAGCAAGGGGAAGTTTCTCCAATCTCAGACAGCTGGCTAGTTCATTTATATGTATAAACAAATGATTTGTAATTTTCGCTGGAGAAGAGAGTAGGAAAGAGAAGAACCACGGTCTGCTCAGCAAAGGGTCTATCTGAGGCAGCAAACAGCAAGGCACCATTGGTGGAGTTGTCTTGTTACACTACAAAAATGCTTCGGTATTTCTAACTGCCACCAATGGAATGAATTGAGAGCCCTCATTATCAGCACATACCCACTTTCTGGTCAAAGCAAATTGATTTATTTCAGTTCCATGGGAAACTCACTTGTGCTTCCAGGATCAGTTGGTTTGCTCTCTACATAGTGCCAAAAATAAGAGGAAACCATGTGTGTATAGTTGGCTGCCAGGTTACCTTTTATATTCACTATACTGGAACCACAAACCCGGCTACATATGGGTCTTGAGAGCTTTGAATGACTTCTACAGGATGCTCACAAGCTACTCCCAGGGAATACTCAACTACACAGATGTATAGCTGATGTGGAGGAGAGAAGGTGAGTTCCCAAGAGGTGCCTAAGCAAACCTTTGTTCTGTAGTGAACTTGATACCCTCTTCCTCGGCTGTGTTTCAGAGAGGTTAGATGAAATCTTAGCAGCAAGTTTTACCCAGAGGGAATGGAGAGTTTTCCCTTATTGATATCATCTCTGGTCTCTGCATGGATATGCTGAAGTTACTGTGGATTTTGCCTTCGACTTCTATAAAACCTCAATTACACACCAGTGATTTCGTATTCAAAATGAACAGCTATTGTGTGTACACAACCAATAATGCTTATGTCTATTTGCCACTTTTACTAGCATCTTAACAGGAAAACAAACATCATTTGCTTCTAATTGTGACTAATGTACAAGACATTTCAAATTGTTAATATTACTTATATTTGGGGTGTGTTAATTGGTTTGTTCTGAGGTTTTATGCTTCACATAGCTTGTATTTATAAAGTAGTTCACAGCCATAAGCTGTGAAGAACACAAAATCATTCCCAACTTTGACAATGTGGCTTTCTGTCAGAGAGTATAATCTGTTCTCATACTCTGACAAGTGTAATGAATAGCACAGTGGAAGCCTCTAGCCAGATGCATGGAGTGTTTTTACCCTTAAGCGTGATGAATTTGTCCTTTACTTCACCCATGTCCACTTTTGGGATTAGGGTTAATTTTCTGGAAGCACAAATTTATGTGTCTTTTCTTAGAAAATATGATGCCAATGACAATGTAATATACTCCATATGCAGCTGGTACTGTTACCTGTCCTCTGTGGCAGGGGATAACAGATGAGGCTGACCAAGGCTGTGCTGTATTTGCCAGGATGGCATTGGGCTGTTTGGGTTTTTCTTTTTTTTCCTGGTGGTGTTCATTTCTTACAGCAGCTTCAATACTGAAATTTCAGTGAGCAGAACAAGGGTTGCTTTCCTGCTTCTCATTTTAGTTTTCCAAGTAAGACATGAGACTGAGGAACAGGGAGAATGAATTTGGAAAAAAAAGTAGGCATTCCAAAGTCTTTGGGTTTATTTTTATTTCTGTAGTGCTTTCCTGTTTATTGGAGTCTTTCATCCCCTCCTAGAAGGGGAAATACCATGCAACCAGTCACAGAGAGGTCAGGGAGTTCGTCCTAAGAGATGTGAAGCAAGAGCTAGACCGTAGACAAGGATGCCATTTTAGGCCATTCTTTTGTGTGTGTGTTCATTCAAGGTGGTGATCAGTGGTACAAAGTCTAGTTGAAGGCCAGTAACTAGCATTGTACCCCAGGGGTCAATACTGAGTCCAATCCTGTTCAACATTTTCATTGATGATCTGGATGCTGATGTAGGGGCATTGGACTAGATGACCTCTAAAGGTCCTTTTCAACCTTTTCTGTGAGTCTCTGTGCTATTCTGAAGCTGTGCCTTTCTTGCTCTCCTTCCTTGGTCCATGATAGAGCCGCTCTGAGGCCACATGTGGGGCTACTCCTACAGATTTGTGGAGAATAGCTAGAGTATCCCAGTCTTGCCCTTCTTGGGTGGGAGAGGGAGTTGATGCCTAGGAGGTGGTGGAAGCTTTTTTTTTTGTTCTCATGGTGAGCCTGCTAGAACACTTGAGGGAGAGGGGCTTATCTCTGTGCAGCAGAGCAGAAGTGAGGATCTACTTCCCAATGTTTGTTCGTGGGTTGTCTCGTCTCTGTCATATGGAACTATGTTGTACTCTAAGTTAACTGGCTGAATGCTTAATTGCCCTTTTGGAGTGATGGGCTTTCCAGAGTGTTTCTTTTTTTGGAGAGGGAAATGGCCTTGATATGAGCATAAGGCAAAGGCCAGAACAGTCATCTACTGAGAGATTCTGAGCAGGCCACTTAGTTGTCTTGCCTCACCAACTCAGCCAGAAACTACAGCTGTGTCTCCCCCAGCCACCCCCAGATGTTTGTACAGCATCTTGAATGTGAAGGAACTAAATGGTGATATCCTGTTTCCTGTCCTCCTGCCATCTACATAGGCAGTGGATAGCCTGTCCAGAAGCTGGTACTTGTATACTAGTATGAGCAAGCAGCTTTTTGCTTTAGAAAGCCTGTGTAGCTGTCTGAGCAGCTGGGGAGTGCTGCCCAGCACACACAGAGCTGGGGGATGCCACTGTAGTTGCTGATGCTGGTGTCCAGACAAGTGCATTTGGAATCTGTGAATCTACAGCTTTTCTGAGGAGAGGTGAAAGTTGGTATTTTAGTTTCAGCTCACAAACATGCTCATGCTTTGTTCAGTTGCCCTAAATGGTTGCTGGTGGCCAGACAGAGCAAATGCTTAGGAAGAGTATCTGTATAGTCAAAAGGGGTTTATTCTGCTCTAGTGGAAAAAAGAGTATAAGTGAGAGAGAGGGAAAAGAGGAGGCGGGGTAGGGGGTTTCTTCCACTTTGTTTTTGTCCTTGGATCTGCACCTGCAATGTTAAATATGTTCTGTTTGCTCATTCCCGTCAGACTTACAGCGATAGGTCATTAACAATCTGACATTAATTACTTGTTTTGTACTTTTAAAGTCTCTTTGGGAAAGAGAACAAAGACAGGGTAGTGTTACTTCTGTGGCACCCCAGTATTAAGAAACTGGCAAACATAAAAGGCACTGTGTAATTACCATGCAGTCTCCCTAGGATGGCATGACTTTCCAAGGAGAAATGTTGTTACGGAAAGATCATCCAACAAATAAGAGCGCTGTGGACTGCTTATGTGCAATACTGGGTCTTGGTTTCTTTGGGTGCAGTGTGGCATGGTATGCAGTTGGTAGGCCAGGCTGGTGGGTTCTGACTACACAGGAACTTAGGTGCGTGTTTGCCAATAGTGCTGTATTTCAGTGCTGGGTAGTAAATGAACTCAAAAGGTCTGACCTCACCTGGGATATCTGATATTGCTGGCTGAAACATGGAATTGCCAAGCTGTAGCACTCTGAAATTCTGTATTTTATTCTAAGTACGAAAAAGAAAAGTCTGAATGTGCCAGATTTGCCTTAAAATGAGCTTGGACCTTATTTTCCTTTGTTCCTATATCACCTTCCTTTGTGACACTCTCCACACCAGTGATGGGGTTATGAAAAGTAAAAATAGTATAAAACCGCCAAATTGTTTTTCGCTTCCATGGAAAAAAATCAGGAAATGCTGGACTGGATTTCATAGAAAAAATTGTTTTTGTCAGAGTGACACTTTCTGAGAGTTGTTGACAGATGACACTGGTGTCAGACTGCTGGCTGTGATTTCCCTGGCAGCCAGTGTCTCACCCCCTGCCCTTCCCTGTAGCCCCAGGGGAGGGGAGGGCAAGTCCCTGCCAGCCCTTTGGTTGCTCAGCCCGAGGCAGTTTAGGGGCACTTCGGGCAGGACTCGCCTTGCCCAAAGGTTAGATGCTCATAATGGATGTCTGATGCAGGGCAGTCACCACCAGCTCCAATTACAGGCAGTGGAGAGGAATTGATGTATTTAGGGTGCGATTCAACTGATACACCTGAGATGTTGGCTTCAGGCTGAGATGAGTCATAGCCCACAAGTGCCTGGTCTCTGCCGACCAGAAGTTCAGAGGGTGAATTCACGTGTTGTTGCCAACAACATGAATCCTTTGCTGGTGTTTCAGAATGTTGGCCTCTGCTAATATCTCAGTTCCTCTGTCCACCTGTAAAATAACAACTGAGCTGCGAATGACCATTTCAAAGGTGCAGCACCTTCCAGAGCCCTTCAGTGTGCAGGAAGCCTCCTTGCTGTATTGTGTCTTTATGAAGTACAGC